TTACGTAAGAATCAAGATCTATGTGTTTAAAGAGGAAGAAATGTTCAATAGATTATAAAGGAAGAGATGCAGCCGAACAAATACATAATTAAATGTAAGAGGGGACATCCAAGTCCCTACAGGAAGCAATATGTGAGTGCTGGAGGAGCGCAGCAAACCGCTGGAAACTAATTGCTACATTTATACATCTCTGGATTGCTACAATGTATGCGGTAACTCCAGTAGATGGGATAATTGCAGAGCAAATGGAGAGGTAGAGGAAAAGAATGTGTTCAACATGGAAAAATATTGTAGTAATCTAAATGGCCGGAATTAACACTTTCTCTGGAGTACAACTTCAGATCTAGACAATTGTTTGTTCAGCAGCGGTTAGAGAGATGTACTGTGGTGACGATTGACTGAGGCACTTGCAGAACACCGTGGCCCACAATTACAGTGAAGGAAATGCGTATTTGCTCTCCTGCTGATTTTGAATGTTTGCCCGCTCACAAAGAAACGATCGGTCTAAAAATCAAATGGTAGGTGCAGGGGCGGACTGACCATTTGGAAACTGCCCCAGGGCCCGGGGTCAGTAGGGGGCCCCATGAGATGCCCCTGGTACCTTTTTCATAGGCTTTTTTGAGTTTGGGCAAGGACACAGGGGGCCCCATGATCCCCTATTGCCCGGGGGCCCCATGAGTTGTCAGTCCGCCCCTGGGTAGGTGTATTGTAACACTGAGAGACAGAATAGTAACAAAAAAAAGTCAAAAGAAATGCACGTCTAACAAATTATGCAGACCTGGGAGACTGACAGTTGTTTTGTGTTTCTTCCATTTGCAAATGATTGCACCAACTGTTGTCACCTTCTCACCAAGCTGCTTGGCGATAGTTTGGTAGCCCAGTCCAGCCTTGTGTAGGTCTACAATCTTGTCCCTGACATCCTTGAAAAGCTCTTTGGTCTTTGCCATGGTGGAGAGTTTGGAATCTGATGGTTTGATTGCTCCTGTGGACAGGTGTCTGTTATACAGGTAACAAAATGAGATTAGCAGCACTCCCTTTAAGAGACTGCTTCTAATCTCAGCTTGTTACCTGTATGAAAGACACCTGGTAGCCAGAACTCCTGCTGAATGATAGGGGATCAAATCCTTATTTCCCTCATGAACATGCAAATCAGTCATCATTTGTTAGACATGCATTTCTGCTGAATTTTTTGTTGCTATTCTGTCTCTGTGTTACGATACACCGACCATTCGATTTTTAGACCGATCATTTCTTTGTGAGTGGGCAAACATTCAACATCAGCAGGGGATTTAATACTTATTCCCTTCATTGTATCTCCAGCCAGTTGTGGGACAATGTCAGCTAGTGCCCAGAGCAAAGATACCAAACAATACCCCCCCCCCCCCCCCACAACATATGAGCATTATGTGTCAGCAAGAATCCCCTCCTCCACGCGCAGCTACCCCCATTTCACATGATACCAAAGCACCCAGGGCAGCTGCCCCTCCTGCCCACCCCTTGTCCTGGCCCTGCCTCCAGTCCACCAATCTCAACAACAACCCCCCCAACCCCATCCCAAATTTCCATCAATCAATACAAAACATATTAAAACATTCATTTATAAAAACAAAAATTAGAAATGTACAATCAATGATTAACAGATCAACAAAAACATCAGTACTTGATCCTACCAGGTCTAAAGCTAGCCATAGACGGGTACACTCAGGGGTGTATTTACCACAAGGCAAACAAGGCATTTGCCTAGGGTGGCATTTTTCAGGGGGGGGGCAGCACTGCCCCTTGGAAGAAGGGACGGAAGAAGGGCACATGTGGCATGGGTACCAGGTGGGATCTGCAGGCTGCTTGATGGATATCGAGAGCCCAACTCTCTTTCCTGGGGGGGAGCTGTGAAGGTGAGCTGGGAAGGGGGGGGGAATGTTAGTGGAAGGTTCTCTCAGGTGGCATGGGGACCTGGTGGGTTCCGAGAGAGGCTGCAGGTTTCATAATGGTGCATGCACAGACGACTCTCGTTCCTAGGGATGTTCGGAGCTGTGAAGGTGAGTGTCTTTTCTCTCTCTTGCCATGTGGGATGGTGGCTGGTGTATGGGTGGCAGTGGAAGTGGAAGGCTCAGGTGGAGGGCAGGGGTGTCCTTGGTCAATGTCAGGCTCTTTCTATGGGGGGCGCCAATTTTTGTGTTGCCTAGGGCAGCACAAAACCTAAATACACCACTGGCAGGGGTGGACTGACCATTTGGAAACTCGGGCACTGCCCGAGGGCCCAGGGTCAGTAGGGTGCCCCATGAGATGCCCCTGATACCTTTTCTTAGGCTTTTTTGAGTTTGGGCAAGGACACAGGGGCCCCATGATCCCCTATTTCCCGTTGGTCCCATGAGTTCAGTCCGCAACTGTGTGTCTGTATGTGTGTGTGTGTGTGTGTGTGTACATGTTTCTGTGTGTGTATGTACATGTCTGTGTGTACAGGTGTCTCTGCTTGTGTGTGTTTGTTGGTGGTGAGTAACTCTTAAGGCCTGGCTAGTAGCTCAGGACTTGAAATTTTAAGCCCTGCTCTAGGAGACTGGAAGCAACGTCATGCATCACTTCCAATTCTGGCAAATATAAACACTGACATTCCACGATAGAGGAGAGATCTGGGGTATTTTAGACCCCAAATATCTCCATAAAGAGGAGGATTGCATTTGGAGCTTTCTGGTCCCGCCGGTAACTGTGCTGGGAGCGTACAGGGTGCGCTGATGCCAATTTCATTCATTCAAGAAAACATTTCCATCCTTCTTTGATTTTTTCACTAAGAATCACTAAGGTCATCACTAAGATCATCACTAAATTATTACTAACTAATTATTACTAAGATCATCACTAAGATCATCACTAAGATCATTACTAAGATCATTACTAAGATCACTAAGATCATCAGTTTGACCCCATTAACTATTAGAAAATTGAACAAATGTTCCAAAAACTATTGTTTTCAAACAAAATTCTACTGGTGTTTTGGCTTTAGTTTTCATAGTCTTCATCTTCTGATGTGCCCTAAATCAGGGGTGGGCAAGCTGTGGCCCTCCAGCTGTTGTGGAACTACAAGTCCCATCATGCCTCTGCGAGTCATGATGCAACTGTCAGCCTTTCAATGCCTCATGGGACATGTAGTTCCATGACAGCTGCCCACCCCTGCCCTAAATCTCAGTTTATGGTCGCACGGGTCAGCATGTTTAGCAATGCACACACTGACTCTCTCAAACTGCAGGCTTCCACGGCACACTTCAGACATGTTTTCCACATCTAGTAAAATGTATGTAACCCCCCCACCACCACCTGAAACTAAGGGCGGCCTTACAATCGACCGATTTTTTCTCCGAAAATCAGACCTAAGAATAATCGGCCGATTTTCGCTCTGTTAGTGGGTCAATGGCACCAGCTGATTTTCCTGATTCCTCCACTTTTTTCGGTGATCGGACATGTTGGAAAATTTCTGAAAAACGACCGATTTTCGACTCAATGACGGTCAAATCATACAGTTGTTTTTCCGAAAAGAATCTGCACATGAGCCGTGACCTGGAAGAAACAGAAGTTTCACCTGTTATATGGGGTGAACTTTATGACTCGGTCGGCCAATTTTCGAAATCAATGATGGCGCCGTCGGATTACCGAGCGAAAGACGTTTCCGCTGTTCGGATGAAAAATCGTTCAGTGTGTTTGAACCATGTATGGCCTGCATTACTCTCAATTGAACATGATGACTCTATCTTCATTGCTTGCTTGAAGCTTGCCTTTAACTTTTGGTGTATCTGGCGATCCTGCCGGTAAGTGCCTGTGAGTGTGCTTCCTGACCCAGGGTGACATCACTCACTCAGTGAGAGTGCACATAGATGAAGCGAGCTGGCAGCTCACACATCCTATTCTATAGATTAGTGACAGTAAAAGCTACTTATGCGTTTCGGCATATAACCCTTGTTATGTCTATGACTAAGGCTGTTTGACGAAACGCGTAAGATGCTCTTACTGTCACTATTCTGTAGATAAACAAAGACTCTAACATGGATTGCCATGCCGGAGTTGCCAACTGCTTTCATCTATTTGTATTCTGCTCTGTGTATTGAGGACCCCTAGAGCCAGAGCACCAACTACTCAGATTCCTCACATATAACAAAAGCATTTCAACATGCAGTGTGTATATGTATGTATATATATATATATATATATATATATATATATATATACATACACACACTGCATGTTAAAATGTATTTTTTATATATTGCAAAATATATGAAAAATATTTTTTAAAAATGCATTATAAAATATACTGTATATCTTTAAAAATACAATTTTTACATATATTTGTAAATGCATTCCAAAAATGTAGATTTGTCTTTTTAAAGACATACCGTATATTTGAAATGTATTTTTAAAAATATTTTTCATATATTTTGTAATAAAAACGTATTTCAACATACGGTGTATAGATATAGATAGATAGATAGATAGATAGATAGATAGATAGATAGATAGATAGATAATAGATAGATAGATAGATAGATAGATAGATAGATAGATTATAGATAGATAGATAATAGATAGATAGATAGATAGATAGATAGATAGATAGATAGATAGATAGATAGATAGATAGATAGATAGATAATAGATAGATAGATAGATAGATAGATAGATAGAGATATTTATTGAAATATATTGAATATGGCCAAAATTGTAGCATTTCAAATATGTGTCAATGTATTTGGGAAGAATATTTTTAAAATATATTTCAAAAATATATTTTTCTTCCATATGGGAAGAAATGCCACACCTGTCCACATGAAACATGTCAGCTAGTCCATTAGCATCAATCTAATGATAAGAAGGCAAGTTATAATGGAAGGCGCAAGTATAAAATTTTCAGTCACCAGTTATATCCGGGTCAGGATCGGACTGACCATTTGAGCACTCGGGCACTGCCTGAGGGCCCGGGGTCAGTAGGGGGCTCCATGAGATGCCCCTGGTACCTTTTTCATAGGCTTTTTGGGTGTGGGCAAGGACACAGGGGCCCCATGATCCCCTATTGCCCGGGGGCCCCATGAGTTGTCAGTCCACCCCTGATCCGGGTGGTGGACAGCACTGTTAATTGCAGTGGTAGGTACATACAAGTAGGACCTGCCTAGGTTACCTAAATCATGTATAGACAAAAAGACATGGTGCAGCACTCCAGTGTCTTTTATTTGTACAATCATTCAATCCATTAAATTTGGAGAATGGAATAACACGAGAACCGTCATCTTTACATACAGCAGATTTGGGCTTGCCTTATATCTTATAGGAAGAGCAAGCCTGAAAGTCCTGAAAGTAAGGGTCACACTTCTTTTGCTATTGATAATTTCAAGCTTGTAATGGACTGACTATGAAAATTAGGGACACTGAAGTGCTGCAGCCATTCATGTTTTGTGTGTGTGTATATATATATATATATTTACATATAGTATATCACTTCAATTGGTGACACATGTTGCTAATGGTATTGTCCATTCAAACGCATCCAGCAGTCTCTAATGCCCGTACACCGGATAAGAAATTCGTACGAAAAAATTTTGCAAACTGCCGATCGAACGATTTTCTCTTTGTTGATGAGCAGGATGTTTAAACCGATAACGATATTGTGAAAGAAAAAATCCGGTTGAACAACAGTGAGAAATGTTGTCATTTCGCATACGAACAACCGATTTTCTATGCGGTGGTATGACGGTCGTACGAAAAAAATCTATCAAGCGCTATCACGCATGAGCAGAAACAGAAGATTACCCGGATGTTTATGTCCAAGGAATCTTTGTAAATACGAACAAAAAATCCAAATGTTAAAAGTAGATCGGCCTAATGAGATCATGGAACCAGAATTCTGCAGATTATATTTTATGTATCACTATTTATGTATATAGGTCATGTAAATAAACGATATTATACTCATTGCTGGTAATCGTTGTGTATATCGCTCGTTCTGGCTACAAGGTCACACGCACACCGCATCACTTCCATTTGTACGGAAGACATCAACACTACGTATTGCCCGATGAACGATTTTTTTAGATTGGTTAATGTGGGCCACGATTTCAACCAACGAACGAACACCTCTCGGTCACCGGATGACCGATCGGTCGATTTTCTAATCGTGTATTCCCACCTTAAGGGGGAAAGCTAAAACCAGTGCACTCAGAATCTGGTGCAGCTGTGCATGGTGGCCAATCAGCATCAAACTTCATTTTGTTCAATTAGGCTTTGGCGAAAAAAATCTGTAAGCTTATTGGTTTCTTTTCAGAGTTGCACCAGATTTTTCACTCTCCAGTTTTAGTAAATAACCCCCCTAATGCACTATCAGTAGGCACCCAATAATATAGAGATGTGATAATAGATAAAGTGAGATTTCTTTTTATCATTGATTTTACTTAGTTTTTCACACGCACACAGAGGCCGGGTGTCCAAGCCCACGCAGGGGTAGGGCACCCAGCAACAGGAAGACACAATAAATGGAAAGAAAAGAAAAGAAAATAGTGGTAGTGAGTGGCTCATTCAGACAGGTTAATGAGTTAACCTCCCTAGCGGTCTGATTATGTCCATATTTCTGTGCTCAAAGTGGTACATTTTTTTGCATGGAAATATGTATTTTTTTTATTGTAGGCCTGTAATTTTTAGGAATAACTCACTGAAATCTGCCCGAACAAGAGTCTAGTAAACATCCCGGGGATGATAAAACTTGAAACACGAAATCATAAATTATAATTTAATAAATAATCATAAAAAATAATAATATAATAATAATAAATTTAAATAAATAATATAATCAAACCAAAAACACTGAAATGTGAAATAGAGCGCCAAGTTCACACATCACTGAGCAAAGTCGCAGAATCGTTTTCAGTGTCTGATGATGAATTTCCCCCACGAATCATTATCACTCAATTCTGCAAGTGGTTCTGATTTACTATCGCTGTTCTCTAGCCGGTCTAAAACCGCGTCTGACCTAAAGGGACGCTTTTTGAACGCCATGGATGTTTCTCAGTTTCCAGGCAGAAAGAACAGTAAAAATGCAGGTAGGGCACAGGACAAAGCACTCGGTGTGACGATCGCGGCGTCAGACCCCTGACCTTCTCACCAAACTCGTGACTGAAGGACTAGCCAATCTGAAACTGCGATGTCACATGCGTAACAATGCACACCCAGCTGCACAACGATTTTCTAGCTAATGGACCACCAATCGATGTACCGGCAGCCTGAATGCGATTGTTACTGGATCAGGTTAATTAGGCAATTAACCCTTCACACTGCCACCTCCTTTTTGTACAGAGAGAGAGGAAACTCGGCAATATCAGCAATAACACTATGATGGTTGAGATAATCATCGGTATAGCACTGTCACCGCAGACAGGTTATACAGAGGGTTAAACAAACACAGTAGCGCTCTTTTAGAGGCAGGAATTCGTAAGTTGCATTAACGAGCTATAGAAACAGTTCAACACTTTCAGAAAGAAAGATTTATTACTAAAAGGTCAAAAGGGTGCAATAAAAATATTTACAGAAAAAAGATTTAACCAATATATATATATGAATATACAGAGAACAACAGCCAGGGAGTGTGACCTATCAAACAATTTGTCTATTCATGGGCCATCTGAAGATATGCCTGGTTTTTATGGAAGGCTGTCATATTCCAAGATATGAGACATAGGGAAAAAATGGATTTTAAAAGTGTTATCTAGTTCCTTACTCCTCTGGAATGTCTTTGAACTCAGGGGAAGGCTTGGGTTATCTTTTTACGAGGTGCCAAATTGCTCAGCTTCCCAGCCCGCCTTGCGCCCAGCTCAAAGATGGTTTATAGCTCGGAGCTTCCTGCTGTGCCCTGGCCAGCCTGTGACACTTCCAACACACACACACCGACCATATGTCACTGTGTATGAACAGAGAGGAAGGGGGGATGATGGGACAACATGGAGAATTCCTAACAAAATGGAGGACTGCGTCCTTCTCTGTGGGCATGATTGCTACACTCAGGAAAAAATGTATGTGAAATGGTTTGATACAGGAATGTTATACTATGTGATTTTAGTGAATTTAGTGAATGTCACTTTTACAATTTTCAAATTTCCTGCCAGTTCCATCCCTGTATGTCCCGATGTCGCAGGGAACGGAACCCAGAAGACAGATGCCAGCATCGGCCGGAAGACATTGCCAGGGACACTGCAGGAGGGACATCGCGGGAGCACAGGACAAGGTAAGGGTAGAAGAGATCCCTGAGCAACACTGCAGGGTATTCCCGAGTGTAGCTCGGGGTTACCGCTTGTTGTGCTGAAACTTTACCCCGAGCTACACTCGGGAATACCGCCAGGGGGGTTAATGTGTATGAGAGTGTGAAAACAGATAGAAAATGTGTACGTATCATGTACATGTTGAGTTCCCCCCACATGAAAATGTGGAATAGACTCCCTCAAGAGTTGGTTCTGGCCAGCTCAGTGAATAGCTTCAAAAAAGTCCTGGATTGTTTCTTAGATACACAGAATATAACTGGATATAACATTTATAGGTAAAGTTGATCCAGGGAATATCCAATTGCCTCTCGGGGGATCAGAAAGGAATTTTTTTCCAGCAGGAGCAAATTGGATTGTGCTTTGCTGGGTTTTTTTGCCTTCCTCTGGATCAACTGTGGGTGCAGGATTATAACTTTTTTTTCTATGTTTGAACTGAATGGACTTTTGTCTTTTTTCAGTCAGACTAACTATGTAACTATGGAGCGAAGTAATGTTAGAAAAGAAGAATTGAGGATGAGCAACAACTAACACCATGATTTGTCAAGAGGTCAACTGGGAGGCAGAGTAGTAGTGGAAAGCTCTTCAAGCCAATGTGCTCATACCAGTGTTGCCAACCTACCAGATTGAAATTCATTGACCAGACACCCAAATTTTACTGGCACAGCCAGGTTTTTACTAGCATTTCCAAAATTTTTAAAATTCCAATTTTAAGTGCAAATTTCAGTATTTAGGCTACAATCAAGTACAATGTGCAATTTGCAATGTGACACTGACTGCACAGATGATGATGACACCTCATTGACATGACATGTCCCCTCCTGAGCCACAGTGACAGTCTCTCTCCTCTCCAGGTGGTCCTTTCAGTCCACTCCAGTCCAAAGGATCACTGACAGGCTTGCCTTGCTCCCATCCCACGGACTAACACACGATGCTTCGGTCGCTCTGCTCGGCTCCTTTGCACCACGACACACTCAGGCACCGCCTCCACCAGACCCATTGCCCGCCAGCACCACCCAAACAAACTTTAGTAGGCACTTGGATGGTCTTGGCCAGCCCTGACACTAGCGCCATTTTTAGTGGTATCCTTGTCCTGTTACTAGCAGAAGAAAATTGCCCATTTTTTACTGGCTGCCAGTAAAAATACTGATGGTTGGCAACACTGGCCCATATATTAGTACGTTTTTTGTGGCAACCTCTGTTATTGTAGGTATGCTGGTAATGAGGAGTTTCACTAAGTGGATGGAGGAGAGGACTTTTTCCAGTGCAGTGTTATGGATTTTTTGGCAAAGAATTATAACAAGCCTAGAAGTGTCCATTCTCCATTTGTGAGAACCAGATTGTTGACCAAGCCAAGTGAGCAGATTCTGGGTGAGGGAGCAAAAGAGGTTTGCACAACAGCATTAATAGTACATAACATTTCATTCCAATAAGAGATGGCTGGGCATATTTCCAAAGCATGAGGAAAATCTCCCGATTGCATTTTCTTAATGCTTTTAATCCTGCAAAATTTTAAAAGGTACACAGGGTAGACATCAGAAGCACATTTCAGACATCCCCTCCCTTTCTCAGGTCCACAAGTGTACGTTGTAACCAAGTCATGAAAGAGATACAAAGAACAAAATGTTCATGGTTTCATAATAGAATAGCCAATAGAAAGAATGGACTTGGTTACAATGTACACCTGTGGAACTGAGAAAGGGAGGGGACGTCTAAAATGTGATTCTGATGTGCTTCTGATGTCTACCCTGTGTACTTTTTTACAACTCAGTTTGCTGAAAACTGTTATTT